GAAAATATTCTATTTATCATATATTTCTGAGTCTAAGGTTTTTATATCTAATTTATCTTTTATCATAACTAAGGAAAACTATAATTATAAATATCTAGTCTTCAACTACATCAAAGACCTCAGAGGGATATAATATTACCTAAGTAAACAGGAAGAGCATTGTAAGCAACTTCCAAAAATCTAGAATGACAGAGACACCTGGCTACCTGAACAGTTACCCAAAGATCCTCTCTAACGTTGGGACATCCATCTTCAGCCAACAGGACTAGAGTTTTTTAGTCGCTTCTCCCTGTGTCCTGTAGAATATTTGGCAGCCTCCTATGTGAAGCAGGAACCTGAAGGACCATTTCACCTTCTTTTGGCAAATTCAATGGTCATTTTTCCATGGGTCTTGTACTTCAAGTCGATACAACATTTTGTCAAGCAGTTCAGGCAAGAAAAGTTTCTTACCCAAATGGTTATTTTTGCCAAGAAGATAAACTCCATATGGAGTGTCTTCAATGCCCATCCTCCTCTCTGAAGTAAATCAGTGCTTCCAAGAACAGATGTGTCTCACTATCCAGAAAGTTTAAGTTTTTAAATTTAAACATTTGAAATGCCATATTCTGTAGGTCTTTGAAGTGTTTGAAGATTACATACCTAATTAAAATATACCTTTATATACCTAAAAAAACTTAACTAACATGACTATAAATTTGATTATCCTAGATGACTATTAATCTGTATTTCTTAATTATCCATTATAATTTAAATGAGTTACATAAACATAATACCTTAAGTGAGAATAGAAATATATATACAGTATAACAAAATTAACTTTAAATTTGTAATAAACTAAAATCTATAGCAATGTAAAACATTTAAAACAAATTTTTGCTCTTTAAAAGTAGGTTCAATAATTGACCCTATTATCCTATCATATGTATAATATCACCCTTTTCTTCTTTAGAAAGAGATTGCATTTATAATCAACATGCTCTAAATAAAAATAAACATTTATAAACAATATTTTGGGAATTTAGGTATAGCTTCTCATACTACTTCCTGCTGGCTGAGGGCACTGGCAATCTAATGGGGATCCTGAAAAAAATTAAGAATTATGGTCGATCCCTGACTGAACTAGTCTGTGGGGCTGCATTGTCTGAGCCAGTTGCCTTGAAGCCGTTTTGGATGTTGGATCATCTGGGCCATTGTATCCGCAGTGACCTTTCAGGGGGGTCTTCAATAATCAAACCATATTAGCCTGGAAGCAATCCATAGGTTCTCATCTTCTGTGGAAACAAAAGCAGAGCCTCCTTTCCAAAGCAACATAACCTTAGATCCAAGTTTTGAAGTCAAAATACCTTTAAAATATACTTTTTGGTTTAACTGAGAAGCCTTTTCAATCAAATGTCTCTCTCCTGTTAAAAATACCAAAAATATAATCCAGACTCTCTGTGCAATCTTCATCTTTATGTGGTTTAACTTTTATATTACTTTTACTGTCTCTTTAAAGACTATTTTTTACAACTATGTCCTTACATAACTTTCTATACTCCTTTTCCTCTCTCTTCCAAGCCTATGAACATTTTTACACATAATGTAAAGAATTTAGGGGTTTATTTCATCTGAATCTGTCTTTTTGTGAATCTATTGTTTAAGCTGCAGCATGACTAGGACTGAAATGGCAGCTTTGGCTGCTGGATCCACCCACCTCAGCTTTCCAACATGGCGGAACTACATTTACTGCCAGCTCAGGGGGAACCACGCAGTGGATCTGTGCTTCCATCCAGCAGCGTGTAGCCCCAAAACCTTTTCTTTCTTTCCTTATTTTTTTGTCTGTACTAGCAAAAGGTATATCCACCATGCACCATGCTGCATGGCTTGCAGATGCCACTTTGTACAGTGGCAGGAATCTACCATGCTGTACTCAAGCCCATACACCGTGAATCCACCTAGTAGCTCAAGTTCACATGCCACAGTATCTCTGTACCTTGGTGTCTCTACATCTCGACCTGTTTTGGGCTCCTTTATTCCATGTTTAGAAGGCATTTTTAAACACTTTTAGGCCTTATGGGAATTCAAGAGCCCCAAATTGGTATGCCAATTATAGCTGAATGTTTCTCCATCCTACCTGGTCCCACCAGACCCACATTCCTCTGGCCTGGTGGTTCCACAGCCACTTATATAATAATCACTCAGAAGCTTTTATTAATTGTAACTGCTCAGCCATTGGCTCAGGCTTATTGCTGACTATTTCTTACACCTAAATTAACCCATAATTCTTATCTATGTTTAGCCAATGGCTTAGTACCTTTTCTCAGTTCTGCCTTGTCATCTTGCTTCCTCTGTGTCAAGGTGGGAACTCCTGACTCCTCTCCTCTTCCCAGCATTCTCCTAGGCTGCTCACCCTGCCTATACTTCTTGCCTGGCTACTAGCCAATCAGCATTGTATTTATCAACCAATCAGAGCAACACATCCACAGCATACACAAAACATTGCACAGAAAAACTCTCCAGCCCAGGAGCAGGACTGTCTTTAAACAATGTTCTATATAATGTATATAATATCAAACAATCTCCATATATACTTCTGATAATTGTTCTGATATGTAAATCTTGCTATGTATACAATAAGACCAATTGATACTGCCCTCTCAGAGCCAAAATGGTTTATAATTGCTTTGATTACAAGTTTAAATATAAGACAACTTCAACTACAGCTTTGTTCCTACAGATGCACACCACTAATTCAGGTATACTCTTTATCTAACAATGCTTCATTAAAATTCAGACTAATCGAATTAATATAATTATTCAAAGATTAGTAGATTAAAATTAATGTTCTAAACTCAACTATTCTGTTTTGATAACTCATAATCATAATATTTAGACACACTTAACCACATCATATAATGCTAATGACAGATTTTAAACTAAACTATACTGTTTTGATAACTCATAATCATAATATTTAGACACACTTAACCACATCATATCATGCTGACTAATGATAGATTTTTATGTTACTCCTCTGCCTTACTATAGATCAAAGGTATTCTGAAATCATATGCAACTACACCTATAGTGTTTTTACACTAGTTCTCAGCTTACCATCAATATAGATTATTGATTATTAATTATAAACTATTGATTCATTATAAATATTGGTTATTGATATAAATGTTGCTTAAATGTCTATAAATTTGGATTCTTATTAATTTTAAAATCATTACAGGATTACTTATCATGCTTCTAATCATCTTTAGACTTTTTTTTTTTTTTTTTTTTGTTTTCGAGACAGGGTTTCTCTATGTAGCTTTGCGTCTTTCCTGGAACTCACTTGGTAGCCCAGGCTGGCCTCGAACTCACAGAGATCTGCCTGCCTCTGCCTCCCAAGTGCTGGGATTAAAGGCGTGCGCCACCACCGCCCAGCCCAATCTTTAGACTTTTAATTTATCCACATTACTCACTGCCCTAAGAGAGATTTACATGCTTCCATTTTTATTAAATGAAAAAAGGGGAGGTGTTGGAGGCTGTGTAGCAGGTGACAACTAGTGTTCAGCAGGTTTGCCCACCAGACTAATGACTCCCTGACAAGAAGCCCCACTTGGCAAGGCTATGAGGTCACTGACTGTAAATGAGTGGTTGCTACTGTCTGTAATTTTTCTCATGTGCGACTATATCTATTCCCTAAAAATGCTATGGGTGTTCTCCCCACTGCTTGTGTATTTATCTTGTGAATGTATTTCATCTACTGGGCACACATACAGCTGTGGATGGTCAGGAAGGTGATTTCTACTGAAGCTGTATAATTTTGATGAATAGAATATACTAGGATATGCTTCATAACTAGATCTATTGTCTCATGAGGACTGTGAGGCATTTAAAAGCCTGCTTTGCTCCTTTAACTCAGACTAACAGAAGAAAACAACAATTTCTACCCAGTCTAAGACAAACTACACACAATGAGCTCATTTTTACCTCAGCTCAAAGTCAGGATTGTTGTGGAGCTGGGTAATGTATTTGGGGGCAGAGATGGCTACAGATCCAGGCTGCTGCTTACCACCCTGCCAGTGCCAGGTTTCCTGAGGAGGCCCAATCCAGAAAATGAACTGTTCTCCATCACAGATCCTGATGTTCCTCAGAGCCAGGGTGATCATGGACTATCACTGAGACTACTCTGGGATATCCTGTGGTTGCCCAGAGACAGGGTGATCTTTTGGCTGGGCAGGGTATCTGAGGAAGGACCCACTCGAGCTCCAGGCCTCTGCACATCTCTCTGTCATTGGTGAAGGCCTTCCTGCTGACTCATTGGGTATTACCATCATACCTGTGTCCCATGGGCAGCTCCACAGCAGTGGTGTCTCCAGTTGGAACCAAGAACCCACCCTACAAACCAACCTCTTGAATCAGTCTTCAAACATTTTTTAAAGGTTCTGACAACAGATATTCCAGACATGCGAGAGCACATTTACTGGAGATACAACCATTCTCTCTGACACTTTTCCCTGACTTTCTAACAGCAGGACACCACTCTGGCTTTGGCTTGGGTTGCAGAGGCTGTGGCATTGGTGTGTGAGGCTCCTCCTTGGTGGTTGCAGACCAGTGATGTGGCCTGGTGCAGGATACCCAGAGCTGTGGGGGAAGGGTACAGGAGGATGCCTCCCCTCTAGCTCTCTACAGCAGCCATGTATGCTGCAGCCATCTTGGCTCAATCCTGTCCTGCCCTCATTTTTTTAAGGTCTCAGTGATTCAAAGGAAGAACTAATGGACAAAATTTCATATCTGGTCATAAAAGAGGAGGTCACTAATGCTGACAGGATTGCTATTCACATTAAGATATGAGTACCAACTCATACCAAAGCACTGAAATTAATTTAGAATCTCTCATAGACTCCGAAACACCCATAAGTATAGATGTTTATGATGGTTTTCATCTTGGATATCACCACGGATTATGAATTGACTTTGATAATTTTAGAAGATAAAGAAATGAGTCAGTGACTATAGATAACATGTTACAGGTCTCTCATGATATCTTTGACACAAGCTATGAAACTTCTGGACACTATAAAGTATAGCTCTTGGGCTTGCTACAAATCCACTTCCTAGGCATGTAGTTCTTGCCACTGCTGATTTTGTCATCAATCAGGTAGGCACGTTTTCCTTCTCCTCGGATGGGAACCCTAAAACAAAAAAGAAACAAAATTTCTGCAGAGTCTGCCATTGCATTCACTCCTGCAATGATAGCTCACTCGTCTCCACTGCTTATTTATAACATGGATCACACAAAGGCAAAGCCAGGAGGAATCACCAGCAAGAGATTTACACCTAGTGACTCTTGCATTCTCAGGGTTTGATGCGATGACCAGACCTTTGTCATTCATCCATGTTGAACCCTGAACTGTGTGTACAAAGCATTGGACTGGTGCTTGCTGCCATATTCAAATGAACTTCAGCCATGGGTAGCACCACAAGGTGATCATCAATTCTATCTTGAAGTATTTTTCACATGTATAAAAGTGGGAGGAAATGCACAACTCAGTAAATTGCTGAAAGGTCTTTAATGATGGACATGACTGGGGTTGTGTTTCACCCTTCCAGTGAAATGGGCCTGTTCAAATGGCTATGCTCACATCCAGGAGCTGTCTGGGGTGCTCTTTGATGATGAGACTTGAGAGGAGGTTCCCAGTGTCCTGGGAGTCTCTGCTTCTGTGACAGGTACAGCTGTACAAACAGCTGTCTGACAAGTCTTACCCCAGAAGTTCTGCAGTGGCTCCCTGGGGTTTCAGAGCCCTTAGGAGCCATCAGCAGTTCTGCCTACATCCCACAAGGGCAGTCATCAGCAAGGAAAGATTTTCAAGTGGTGATAGCACAAAACATCTACCCCAGGTACCACCATCATCCTTAAGATTTGGAGTAAAACAACACTAAGTAAATTCAAAGGATTTAAATTTGTTGGGATGTGGACTTTACTGGGAATTGGCTGTCACATGTACCACCAACCTATCCCCCAATGCACACCTCCAGCCTAAAGGTTTATGTTTTCAGTAAAGCTGGCTCCACATGACATTTCCTTTCATCTCTCATAGCCTCAACTCACACACATCACAACACAAGAGGACTGAAAACATACAAGTTGTTATATTTAGTGTTGTCTGTCCACCTCCAAGAATGCTCTGATGACTTCCTGTGCAGGCCAATCCAGTAGGCAGAATCATTCTTGTGTCTCTTTAGGAAATCCTGTTATAAAACACAGAAAGCAAATACATGTGTCTCTCAGCTTCAGATGACCATGGAGTCTCTGCCCTACAGCCTCCTCTCAGGATGGCAGCAGGTTTGAACTCAGGATAATCGACTAAATAGCCCTCAGTTCTCAGTGGATGCATTTTACTACCGTAATCCATAGTACACTAACCACCACCCACCCTTCTGCAGCTGAGCAAGTCCCTTGTTAAGCCTGTATTCGCAATTATTAATAGTTGTCACCTGAAGTATACAACACCTGCCAGCTTGAACAAAGACTTACATGACCACCATGTCTCTCAGTCAAATATATGTCTGGCCATGCAGGTTGACAATTAGCATTACAGGACAGAATATCTTTGGAATGTCCCAGGGCTACAGACAGATGTGTTACCATCACAAATGGACCATACTAACATGTGCCCCATGTCCCTCAATGCCTAGGGTGGGAACCTTCCTCATGCCTCAGCTTTAAGCTCTCTATCTCAAGGCAATACACATTCAACAGAACAAACAACAAACAAAGTCCTGATAATTTCTTACCAGCTCCTCCAGGCTGTCAAATTGAGCTAGATGGGCCTTTAGAATCATGCAGGAGGTCTGGCTGGATGTCCAGTTACTTGTAACTTCAGAAAAATAAAAACATTTACTTCCAAATCCAATCCAGTCTCTTGAGCAATTGGCATGACCAGCTTCAGGGTTTGTAGTACATGTTTTTTCCTTTCTCACTAAAATATACAAAATGCAGTGACATGTCATAAATAAACATTTCCATGAATTGTCTCTTCAGCTAACCACCCAATCTCAGTTGAGGTGTGTGTTTGGACTATAGCTTTCAATACTGATCACTAAGAGACTCCTCCTAGCATGGTCATCTCCAATCAAGAGCCTTCATGTGGCACTCTACAGAAATGTCTTTCTTTTCTTCTTTGTATTTATAGTTTGGGGACAGAATCTATGTCCTCATGTCTGGTTCATATCTCACTCTGTGGACTGTACTTGTCTGGATTTTGTAGTATTCCTCCTGACTGTACCTCTTGAGTGCAGGGACTAAAGAATCCAATACCTTGCACAAAATCATAGGTTCTTAAAACATTAGGACTGTTCCTGATTGCTAGAATCCTACAGGCTCCTTTCCTATATTCCTCCTTCACATCCTCCTTTTGTAATGAGAAAATAAGGAAAACTCCCTCCTTCTCTGGATTTAACTATGGATAAAATACAAACAAGCAAAACATGACATGGTCAAAATAGTTTTTTGATACCAAAACTTTGATCAAGGACTTAATGTTATCATGTACACACACATTAAATCCATATGAAAATATAGTGGCATCATTAGAGGCTGTCAGAATGGCAATCATCAAGAAATCTCACAACAGATGTCAGAGCTCTGGGCAGAAATTGGGACACTTATTCACTGGAGAAAGTATAACTTATACATCCAGTATGGAATCTCCTTTAAAAATTACAATTAGACCTTTTGTGACAAAGCTATGCCAAACCTGGGCAAATATCAAGAGAAAACTACATCATAACACAGAGATACTTACACATCCATGCTTATTAATAGCTCCCCTATTTACAATAGTAACAAAATGAACCTGACCAAGATGCCCATCAACTGACTAACAGAACATGAAAATGAATTACATGTACAAACACAATGTTATTTGGACATAAAGAAAAATGAAAGTTGCAGCAAAGTGGAGGACCTAGAAAATATAATATTAAATAAGGTCACACAAACTCAGAAAAGACCCCATGCACTCCCCCATATACTTATCCTAACCCATAATGTACAGTGTAAACAGCTGTGAGTGTGGGCATAGTGTAACATGAAGAACAAGGAAGAGTAGCATAAGGTGAAGAGGAAGGACAGGATGCAGCAAAGGACACATAAGCTATGAATAGAGTTGTAAAGAGCATTATTTTTCTAGTTTCAACTTTGCTGGTGTTTTTTTCTAGTTTGTGGCTGATAAGTGTATAAAAATGTAAATACAGCAAAAGTCTAAAACCACAACCAAAGTTCCTTGGCTTCGGGTTGTCTATTCTAACTGTGTGGAAGTTCAGTGAGAAACATAGGATTTGGGACTTGGCAAGTGTTGGAGTGGTTATGTTGATGGAGCTGTGTGATGTGTTCATTTGTGAGTCTATTATAATAAAGTGGTGTGTGTGTGTGTGTGTGTGTGTGTGTGTGTGTGTGTGTGTGTGTAAGAAACCCTGAATGCAGCAAATTTTCAGAGGGCTGCTTAGAAAAATAATAGATATTTTTCTTTCATAACTTTGTCTTTTTCTTCCTTTAACAGATAAGAATGAATGTATGGCTCCTTTGAAGGGCTATTGAGCCTAGAAACAAGTGATTTGATAAGAAATAAATGCTATAAATCACACACACACACACACACACACACACACACACACACACACACACACTTATTTTTAGTGTAGGGCAATTTATTGTAGCTGTTTCCTGTTTTTATATGCAGTACCATAAGGCTTTAATGAAAGGGACAAATGCAACAAAAAAATGAAGGTGACTGTATCTTTTCTTTGTCTGAATCTTTTCACAGCTACATAACAGTTTAGGCTACACTGACTGTCTTCTTGGCAAATGTTTGTCCAAGTTTAGACTTGTATATTATCCATTGACATGATTAAAGTTGTCATGTCAAAGTTGATTTTATAAAATAATATCATGAATGATTTACTCTAGCTATGGCAGGGAAGCTATACATGTTTTATCACATTATTCAGAATAGTCTAACAATGAAAACTTGAGAATCACCTATTTCTGGAACATTCTATTTAATATTTTCAGACCATGGTTGAATATGTTAACTGAAACCATGAGTCCTGGTTGGGGTGGGGGTTCTGTACCTGCCCCAACCACATTGCTCTTCACTCCCCTCACTTCCCTTAGCTGCAGCAGCCTCCTTGAGGCTACTCCTTTGGGTTTTCTTTTCCTTGTTCTCTGCCTTGAATAGATCTCCCAAGTAGACATGTGTCTCCTGCATCTCTGTCTAGAGGTTGCCGAATGCCATCTTCCCAGGGATGCTGAGCCTGGCCTCCTGTGCACACCACAGCCTGTGCTGTTCCTTCACTGCATCTTCCTGCTAAACCCCAACTTCCCAGAGAACAGGAATTTCCAGTGAGTTTTCTCTCTAGCCCTTCCCACAGTGCCTGGCTCACAGTGGTCAGTAAGTCTAAGTGACAACATGGATGTGGACAGAAAGCTGCAGAATCTGGAGATGAGTCACTCACCTGACATAGCAATAAAAGCCACAGTGAGGACGATAGTCACTGCAAACCAGCAGAAAAGCTTAGTAGGAGACATAAATAAGATAATCCTGAGACATTTTTCTTGGTGCTTTACACCTGTAAAATATGAATATAAGAACGTCAACTTCTTAAGAAAAATGAAAGAAATTTACCACAAAAGCACACTTCACAACTGCCCACAAGTACCTGAAAGTAAACTGCAAACCCCTTTTAGAGAAGGCCCTGGTCCATAAAGGATGTTATGGTGCAAAGAAGACTAGAGAGGGTGGAAACAGAACCTTGACCAGGGTCTTCCAGCTCCTGAACTAAGGGTGAATCATCAAAGAGCAAGAAACAACAGGAGTGAGGAGCAGTGGGAAGCAACAACAACAGTCAGCTGGATTTCTCTCCATAAAGTATTCTGGTTAGAAGGAGGAAGAGACACATTAGGGGAAAATCAATGTAATTAGACCTATGAACAAACTGAGAAAAGAGGAAAAATAGAAATATCTCAATAAACACACCAAAAGTGTGTAAAAATTAGGAATCAGAGGAACTTCCTCAACCCTACAAAAATTATCCATTAAAAACAAAACAATAAATCCAACTGCAGTCTGCTTCATTCTCAAAGGTACAGTTATAAAGGCTTTCCCAGAAATCAGGAGCAGGAGTAGGATGTCTGCTCACTACTACAGAATGACTTTTCACAGGAGGACCTCACCAGGGCAAAGAAATAGGGTCATGTGGGTGGAGAATGGCTCAGCAGTAAAGATCACTTGCTTTTCCTCCAGAGGACACAGGTTCAATTCCTAGCACCTACAAGGTAGCTTTCAACTGTGCACAACTCCAGTTCTAGGAGACACATCACCCTATTCTGGCTTCTATAGTCACCAGGATGCATGTGATGAACAAATGTGTGGGCCAAACAGCCATACACATAAAAAGAAAGTTTCTTAAAGAAAGAGGGAAAGTTTACACTTCTTGAAAACACATGAAAGTGTTTCTCTTTACAGATGACGTGGTTATCTCTGCATAAAAATTCTAACAACTCTACAAAAGACTACTGGATGTAAAAAATGAGTTTACCAAGCTGCAGGACACAATGTCAGCATGGCAAAGTCAGGGGCATTTTACTGTCTAAAGGAAGTTAACTTGTAAGACAGTACCATTTACAGTAATGCCAAAACCCATAAAATTATAAATCTAAAAAAGAGTTCATAATCAGCATAATAAAAACTACATGTAAAATTATGAAGAAATCAGGACAGGGCTGGAGAGTTGGCTCAGTGGTTAAGAGCACTTGTTGCTATTGTAGAAGACCTGGTGTGATTCCAGCACCCACATAGTAGCTTACAACCATCTATAATTCCAGTTTCAGAAATCTGATACCTTTCGTGACTTTGGTGGGCACTAGGAATGCATGTGATGCATAGATATTTATGCAGGCAAAGCACTTATATGCATAATTTTTTTTTAATTAAAAAAAAGAAATCAAGGCAGATATAAACACATAATTGTTGTGGGATATTTGTTCACACAGACACTCCAAAACTGCCAATAAAGTGTAACATTGAATCATGGTTGGAGCTAGGAACTAGCTGACCAGAATTAGCCATGGACCTTTTGTAGGACCCAAAGTACATAGAAACACAGGAGGGACAAGCTAAGAAAGATTCCCAGGCCATTTTGGATTGGGGAAGGCAAGAGACAGGAGGTGATTGTTCGATTCTCCACTGCTTCTCTGATCAATCAGGTTTTTACCCCATTACTTGACTCCCAAGTTTTATTCAATAAAAGAATATAAGTAAATGCTTCACATAATAAACTGGAACAGTTTATGTCAACAATTTCTTAGCAAGTTTATATATGCAACAGTTTCACTTCCTGGGGGATGATTGCCTTCAGAAAAAAATGAAATTCATAGCACCAAAGTATATGAAAGGTAATATGAAAACTAAAAAGAAACTAGAATAGTCCAAAATGATTCTGAAAAACAACGGTTGAACTCAGAGATCATTCTGTCTAATCTCTTGACTTATGGGAACAGGAATAAATAAATAGCACCACAGCCTGGTGCTAGGAAAAGAGTAGACACTGGAACAATACAGCAGGAAAAAAATCCTCAGAAGTTATATCAAACACACATGGTCAACAGATATTTAACAGAGATGTACGGTTGTTAGACAGGGAAAGGGTGGCATCACTCCAATACGTGCTACTGAAACAACCTGGTGTCTGTCTCTAAAACAAGACGTGAGATCGACTGTAGACCCAAGCATGAAGCTTAATATTGTTTGTGTTTGGTTGCTTGTTTTGGGTTTTGTTTTGGTTTTTTGAGACAGGATTTCTCTGTGTAGCTTTAGAGCCTGTCCTTGAACTCACTCTGTAGACAAGGCTGGCCTTGTAATCACAGAGATCCATGTGCCTCTGCCTCCTGAGTTCTGGGATTAAAGGCGTGCCCCACCAATGCTTGGCCAAAGTTTAATATTGTAAAGTCACTTAATTCCTTATAAAGTGGGGGAATGTCTGTGAACTTGTCTTGGGCAAAAGTCATCTTAGATTCAAGAGAAAACTCACTGTCTATATAACAGGAGGTTGATGAAGTAGATGTTGATGTGACTCTAACTGCTTTCTTTTAGAAAGACAAAATTGTGCAACCACTATGGAGCTATTTGTGCAGGAACTGCACAATATAGTGATGTGCCCCCATCCTGCCCACATATCCCCATACTAAAAGGAAAGCCTGCATTTAAGTTTTAAGAAAAAAGAAAAAGAAATTTTTATGTATGTATTTGTAGCAGCTTTAAAGATCACTGTTAAAAAAAAGAAAGAAAGAAATTCAAAATATACAATCATTCAAATGTCCCCAAGCTGATAACAAGTTAAACAAACCCTCTCAACAGAAGAAACAAGTTGGACCAACGCCTGCACTTCCCTTTTTCTCATACCATTTTACCAGGCCAAATGTCCCAAGGCTTCTGATTCAAAAGTCCCTAACTAAACTTATAAGCAAGCTTAAAGACAGTGAGCTACAGGAAACTCTTCTTCCTGCTTACTTTGAAGAGACTCAAACTGCCACGACTTGCTTCCTCCTCTCACTTCTCTACAAGTTTCCCTCTAGATTATCTTAACTTCTTTGTGTAACATTTGACTATGTGGTGCTTGCACACTTGTGAATTCAGAGCACTGCTCCTGTGCCGGTGGTGCTGTGGACAGTCTCTTAGATCTAGCCAGCGGTGTGTCTGACACACTATTGATAGACACTGCACTGTCTGAAGAGCAATGCTGCATGGACGTGAAAGAAGTCAAATGTGAAGTCTCTGCCTCAGGGGTCCATTTTGTGGCATTCTGGAAAAGTAAGTGTGTAAGGGCTGGGGACAGAGGTACAGAGTGTCTGCAACAGGGAATGGGGAAGTTGGAGTGGGGTAGGGGGCAGGGAGTCTATATCCTTTGTAAACTATTGTCTTAGATCTATTTTATGTGTATGAGTGTTTTGTCTGTGTGTATGTGTATATGTGTACTACATGCATGCCTAATGTGTGTGTGTGGGGGCGGGGTTCTGAGAAGTGTGTTAGATCCCTGGAATTGGAGTTAGGGGTGAGTGTGAGCCACCATATGGATGCTGAGAATCAAATCCAGTCCTCTGTAAGAGCAATAAATGCTCTTAATGGTTGAGCAATGAAGGATGCATGATTATATGGGTTTTGTTGTTGTTGTTGTTGTTGTTGTTGTTTTTTGTTTTTGGAGACAGGGTTTCTCTGTGTAGCTTTGCACCTTTTCCTGGAACTCACTTGGTAGACCAGGCTGGCCTCGAACTCACAGAGATCCGCCTGGCTCTGCCTCCCAAGTGCTGGGATTAAAGGCGTGCGCCACCACCGCCCAGCTGATTATATGTTTTTTAAAGTGATGATGTATATCAAGTGAATTAATTTTACTGAATGCACATTATACTTTTTAAAAAGTTTCCACTGACTTTAACCATTGCCTTTTGCTCAGTTTCACACTTCTAAAATACCAGGAAGCCTCACCCATTAACAACGGAGGAGACGGATATGTAGGACTGGAAGGCTTTAAGCACTAAACTGTGGCTTTGGATTTTGGGTCCACACAAAACTCTCAACCTTCATTCTTCCCAGTTATACAAAGATATAGAAAGTTGCATGATAATTTTCATGTGCTCATTTCCAGCTCCAGCACTTCTCAGCATGTGAGCATTCTGGTTTCCCTGGGTTCTACCCTTCATAGCTCCTCACACTCTCTATAGAAAGTAAATCTTGGGAGATTTCTCAAGTCCTCCATATTTTGAATGCGTAGACTTCCTTATGATTTCTAGTTTTGCATCCTACTTTAAAAAACCAATCTTTCCAAACCCAAAAAAAATAATATAAACTCCTGTCTGATTTTAGCTAGTTCTCTCAAACTAACAAGCAGGGTGGCTCAAAATTGTCTAAGTCCAGTCCAGGGGATTCAACACCTTCTTCTGAACTCTGTGAGCACCAGGCATGCATGTGGTGCACCCACGGTCAGTCAAAACAGCCACACACATAAAATAAAACTTTAAAAAATTAAAGGGTAAGAAATTTAAAGAATAAAATGTAACTGTTTTTCAAAATGCAAGGATACAGTTTTAAAGTAGAAGTCTCCTATGTCCTTTTTTCATCATTTACCATAGTGTAAAACTGCAGATGGATTTGAGGGTGGGATTGATCTCCCATCCCCACCCTGCTGAAAAACCTGGGATACAACAATAGGAACAGTAGGATTGAGATTGTTCCCTGATGCCACAGAAACATTTAAGACCAGGAATATACAGGTGCCCTAAGGAAGGGGGAGAATTTCTGACAGCCCTGAAGTCTGGGGGAAAAGGCACAAGAGGGGTGGGGGGCATGGGCTGTGGGAGTCAGGAATGGAGGTGGAGGGGAGGTTGGAAGATGGGCACTTTAGGTGTGCACTGGATAGAGCCATGTGTCTGAGCATGTCCAAGGTCCTCCAAACAATCCCCTAAGAATCCAGATGCCTTCTTTGCTTTACAAACTCAGAAGAGCTGTTTATCTCTCTCCCTGAGGTAGCCGGGTTCTCAGAATCAAGTATGAATGCCAGGCCGGGCGCCTGCAAGTGTCTCTAAGACTAAGGGGAAATGTAATCTGATGGGCGGCTGTTTCAATTCTAACTCCTACAACACATCGCTACAGTTCTTTTAATTACTGTGGGTGAGACAAGAGTAAATCCCAGGCTCACTCTGGCGGGAACCAGTGGATCTAAAATTCTAGATGCCGGAGAAGTGTGCACTGACAAGTTAATTGTTGGTTCCTCTTTCCCCAAATGTATTTAAGTAATATACACCATGATAGAATAATACAGAATTGCAATGGTGCTTCCTGCCCACCCTAGAGCTCTCCACCCCTCCCACCCCCCCACCCCTCCATCACCGCTTCACAGCCTCTACTGATCTCTAGAGACCCCTGTGGCAGCCTAACAGGAAGATTCTGTTCCCCTAGTGAAGCTCCCTCTCCCTTAAACTTAGTTAACCTTTCATTAAATACATACGGTTTTCTCCCTCGCCAACTGGAAAGGTGGAGTCTGTAGTTAACATTCTCATGAAGGCTTTGCCGCAATTGTCTTCCTGCTGAAGCAAACCTTGAATGAATGAGGAGGTTTGCAAACCCAAGGTTTGTAGCAAGCAGGTTTTCAAACCACTTGACTTGGAGGCTCCGCCCAACTTGCCAGTGATTTGTTGTTGCCTGATCCATCAATCCTTAATATATCCACCCTTTCAGCAAATAAAATCTGCTTCTGGGAGAAAGAGAGTTAATATGTGACAGGAAATGTGGGGTACCATAAAGTAAATAAACGGAACTGAAAAATGTTATAGATTTTGTTAGTACAAAATGCTTTTGAATTACAGCAACTTCACACACTTTTCTCCTTCTCCAAGGTGGGATGACAGGGGGTGTTTCACTGTCCTGCAGAAATCAACCTAAAAGCAAAAGAACTGCAAAAGTGGGAAATGTAATTGCCAGTCCTTTTCAAGCCTTGTGAGAATGGAAGTTTCTGGAAAGTAACAGCAACTTCCACAGAACCTTCTACATCGTTGACTGCCTAGTAATCAGTGACCATAGAGGGTTTGAAAACCTGTAAGTTCAGAGCCATCTTTAACCCTCTTAAAAAAATTATTTTACCTTATGCATATTAGTGTTTTGTGGGCATATATGTGTGTGCACCTTGTACATGCCTGGTACTCATGGAGGTCAAAAAGGGCATCAGATCTCCTGGACCTAACTGAGCCACCTCTCCAGCCCTCCATCTTTAGCCCTCTCAATACCTGTTTATTGCTCTTCTCTGCCCCTGACCTTTATGACCATTAGATAACTCAGAAGACTAGCTTTCCTTGGAATATATTAACAGACAGAAAGCTCCCACAAACCGAAGGGCTAAGAACATCATCAGGTACCATCTGACCCCTGGGAACAAAGGTCCCCCCCACTTTGCTGTAACCCCCTCTCTGATGTTTCCACCAAAGTGCTTGAAGTGTCTTTATGTATGGCTTCCTTTGTTCTGTGACTATAAAGACTCCACAACCACCTTGGAATTTGGGGTAATGTAAATCTTGTTCCTGGGCCATGGTCACTCATTTTGTTTCTATAGTAAACTCTTAACCCCTTTGAGGTGAGAGTTGTGATTCTGCAGACAATGGACAGTGACTCTCTGGGAACAGGATAGGAGAGCACATTGTCCCTGTAGGAAAAGTGAGGCAGAGAAGAGGTAGACTAGATACCAGCAAGCTGAGATTGCTTTATTGGAATAGTGAGGGGCCCACTCTTTCCATGGCATGAAGAATGAGCACATTTATAGAACGGGGGGTGGGTGGGTGTGTGTGTGTCTGTGTGTGTGTGTCTGTCTGTCTGTCTGTCTGTGTGTGTGTGTGTGTGTGTGTGTGTGTGTGCACCAGAAAACTGCAGCTGTGTTTGTGGTCTGATTGGGAGCAGGTGATTGTCTTCACTACCCAGGCACGTTGTTTCTGCAGGTGGAGCTGAACAGTCACTCTGGGGCTAAGCAATTCTTTATGGATGGGGCTACAGCGTAATGCATCTTGACTCAATTCCTTGTGACCTGAGTCTCTTACTCAAAATATCCCAACTCTGGTATGGTGGGGGAAAAAATGGTTGAGAGGAGTTGTCCTTTGGAAAAGCTGCTGGTGGGTCCCAAAGGTGGAATTGGCATGTTGAGGATGAAAAGGGGTCTATCCAGAAAATGTTGTCTGTCTTTCTCTGTGTTTGACTCTTTCTAATAATTAACTAGCATTTCCCCTTACTAGGCAGGGTTGATTTGCATCAAGTAGCAAATCTTTGCCTACAAAGGCTAGCCTTTAAAAAAAAAATAATAGTAATATTTTTAAAATTAAAAAAAAATAATATCCTGTCAGTGGAGGAGGCAGGTGAGCAACTTCAGAGATAGAAGATCAGAGTCTGATTAGAATAGGGAATATAGGTAAATCATGGTATCAGCCATCAAAGGGACAGGACTTGTGGGGAAGGAGTGTGTTGGCTTATTAAGAATCGATTAAAGGAGCCAGAAAAGGTGAAAAGAGAGAGACAAACCAGACCTTTACATAAGACCATGTTTATATTGGTGGAAACATAGTGAGGGGGTCATCTCAGATCTCACTCACATGATATATCCCATGCCTTGTGGGTATATGAGCAAATGTCCACACCATGAGTGTGGAGGAGAGAAAATTCCTACTTGAAGAAACTGTCTTCAACCTTTATGGGGACAGAATTGACTTCCATAGAACAGAAGCTGAGACTTTCAGTAGGAAACTATCCAAGTGTCTTGTGTGTGGACAGCTGTGGGGAAGGAGTGTCTTGAGTGACAATGTTGGCCCTGGAGATGGTGTTTTTGTTGTTAGAGCAGAGTTAGGGTATGACAGGGCAGTCTGGTGGGCCCTTTGGTCAGCCTGGATTTTTGAGAAGAGAATGGAATCATTTGTCTTTTTCACAATGAACCCAAGAATGGCTGCTTGGGAGGGGAACTGCTTCATTTCGGTATCCAAAGGGAGTTCATAATTGACGTTTCCTTTTTGGTGGGAAACCCCTTTCTGTGCATTAGCAAGGTGTTGCATGGACTATGTTGTAGACGTATTGGAAACCAGTGTGTGTATTGGCTATAAGAATGGAAGAAAGCAAGTGTGAGAGCCCAGGTGAGGACAGTTATTGCTGCCCTTGGGAAGCTGTGAGAGGAGTAGGGATTTGTCTTCTACTAAGTGCGGGCTTAGGGGAGCAGTGGGGTTCTGCCAGTGCCCATGTCAGAGGAGCAACAGTCAGCAAGGGAGCTTGTGGAGTTCTGTTCATCTAATAGCAAAGCTAAACCCTGGAGAGGCAAAGCCCTGGGCTCTGAGGAGGAGGCTGGGAAGGGAGAGAGAGATTGTTCCCAGAATACCCCTTGCTTCTGCAGTGCTTCCTGTTGTCTGATGAGGCCATGTGCCTGCTGCATTCAGCCTGGAGTGATGCAACCCCACTGCTCACTGGGCAGTTAACTGCAGATCACAATGAAGATGATTTTCATAAGAGCAATGATGATTAGGTCAATGATTTAATTGTGCTTTCTGGGTTAGCCTAAAACATATCGATGGTTAAGACAGGAAAGATGATTAGGGAAGTGGTTTAGGTTATTTGGCCAATTGCTTCAATAAAAGATTTTTTTCTAAAAAAAAAAACCTTTATTTTATACTAAAAGTTACCTTTCTCTTCATTAGATGTGAGAGCTGAAGAGGATTTAAAATGAGAACAAGGAAGTTTTGTGTATTCTAGACCCATGAATTCTGCCTGTGGAAAAACAGGCTGATGATCAAAGAAAAAAACTGTCTCTATACCCAAGGTTAGACCTGAGTTTCTTAGTCATGTAATTTACAGAATTAATCACAGGCCCCAGTATTCACTTTGGAAAAGCAAAGTTGTAAAAGGAAATTAAATGACCCTATTGTGTAAAGAAAGATAGATGGTTAGCTGACCACTCCTTTATAGTGTCTCTGGAGTGTAAACAGGAAAGGAACCTGTACACTAACAGCACAAACAGCTGCCTGCCAGTACAAAAGGAACTGACTGAAAAAACACTTAGCTTGCTTAAACCTTTGTCAACCAGTAATAAAAGAATCACCTCTTTGGGGTGAAGATGTTAGGGTGGGAAAATTAATACAAACAAAATGTGTAACTACTTGTGGGCTTTAAGAAAAACAGGTAACTTGTGATCATAATGTAATTTCTTCCTATGTAAAATTTTAATTTGTTTTTAGAAAAATATGTAACTTATACTTATGAAGTAACCTTTTCTTTCATAGAAATTTTTGTCTTAGGGGCTGGGGGAATGGCTCAGAGGTTGAGAGCACTGGCTCCTCTTCCAGAAGTCCTGAGTTCAATTCCTAGCAAGCCCATGGTGCCTCACAACCATCTATAATAGATCTGATGCCCTCTTCTGGCATACATGCAGGAAAAAAAGTTTGTCTTAGAAGGTGTAACAGGAATAAGAGAAAAATAAAAATAGAAGGAGGAAGAATGAGGAAAGATGTAAAGGGACCATCCGGGAAGAGGTAACAGGAAAAACATCTGAAAGAAGTAGAAGGGGAACAACTGGGAAGAATAAGAAAAGGGAAACAGCAGGGGAAAGAACAGGAAGAAAAGAACACAGAGTAGGAAGAAAGACCAACAGAGGGAAACAGCAGGAGGAACTGAGCTTTGGCCCTCAGGTAAAGTCCCCGTGTGGGTGAGTCAGTGCAATGGTTTGCCCATCCATGTCCTCTCTCCAGTGTCTCTGACCTCCTGGGAGTCTGCTGCAGCTGGACCCCTCCACAGCAGGGTTCCCTTGAAGTACAGCACATCCTGCTGTGGAAAGGTCTGTTTTAGGCTGTGCCCATCTGTCAACAACCTGGCGCTTCTTCAGGGGGTGATCAAATACATGGGCAAAAGGGTTAGAAGGAGGTCAAGTGTCTCAAAGCAAGAGTGAAGGAGATCAGAGGATGTGGAGGGTTATGGAGAGGTGGTGTGGGGTTGAGAGCGGGCATGGCTCCAATATGAGGCTGCGATGTAATATCAGTAAGTCTGGAGAAGCTGTACTCTGGATGGAGGGAGAGTCGGGAAATCTCAGTGGTTGATGAGGCCCTTGAGTGAGTGTAGTGAGGATGTGCAGGGGACTGTGAAGTGAGATTTTTTTCGCGCTTCGGAAAAAGCAGTGCCATTGTGGCCATGGTCTAGGGGCAAAGTGGCCATCCTACGCTGACTATGTCTAGTTGTTTAGAGACATAGTCCATTGGATACGTGACCCCTCTCAACTTTTGGCAAAGTATTTTGAGATATCATCCTTGGTTAGCATGTGAAAAGAGATAGAAGGGCTTGCATGGGTCCAGAAAGGCTAGTGTAGAATCCAGGGAATAGACTGAAGTATGTTTATAGGGAAAGGAGGGATTGAAGGGGAGAGAGACTCCTCTAGGGGCCCCTTCATGCCATATTAAAGAAGCTGATAACCCTTGTGCAGAGAAATTAAAGAGTTTGGTATCATAAGCAGCTCACATTTGGTTTGTGGGGTGGGGAAGACAAGGAGTTCCTCTAACCTGGCTCTGGGTAAACTTCTCCCTCTTGTGAGACTGACAGGCCCAGATAGGTGACTGATGGCTGGAGGAT